AAGCTAACAACAATACATTGTATCTTAAGAATGAAGATTTGCCATATTTAAAGCGAGACCAAGTCAACACGACCTATAAGTGTGACTTCCACTTAAGCAACGTATTTTGTAGGTATTCAATTATAGTTAATATATTCATTGACAACTATTCTACATGATAAATGTTTGACCTCGTTATAAAATGTTAATAAAATTATAAACAAAACTATATGCATAAGATTGGTACCTAACTAACTTCATTAAATTAAAAAGATGAATCAGATAGATACATATATATCTGTAGGTGTTATTTATATGATTTTTTCAAAAACAGTAATATTACTAAGTTAGTTTACAACTGTATGAACTCTAATGAGTAATAACCTATTTGCCATTTGCCTAGGATAAGCTATTTGACATAACCATAGTATTGTATGTTGGTATTTAAAATTAAATGAACTATACATATCTTCCAGTCCATTCTTGCCCAATGATATCTAAATAATAATATAATTTACTATTATTATTTGAGGTATCGTACACTTTTTAGCTAGGTACCTACAAAACGTACTGATAAAGTAATAAATTTACTTTTTATCGATATTCGGTTGCCTGTGGCGAATGGCGATTCCGATTGATCATGTGTCGGCAACCATTATTTTACGTACACGCTATATATACATAGAACACATGCGAGAAGACATAATAATATACCTAACTCCAAAATATATGCAAACCAAATATTGTATACGCCAGCCACACACATATCATCTATGTGCCACGTTCGATAAGTAAAACGAAACACGTGTTTTGATGGAAAATTGCTTGCGTACCTCTATATATAATAAACGCCACGTCATCGTAAAGACGTTCATATTATTATTATTATTATTATTGTTACGATGTGTATTTTAACAAAAATGCAGACGAGCCACTTTAACCCCGTGCACGGAATATGCATATCATAATTTTATTTAGATTGATATAACACAGTATATATTATATACATTGTACATTTAAATTCGATTTAGGTGATTGTTTTCACAACTGCAAATATTGGGTCCATAAACACAAATTAAATTAAACGAATATACTAAACAAGCCATGTATTATAGGTATCATAGCAATATTCATAATTTATAATTTATTCCTGAAAATGAAAATCTACCCATTTTTTAAACGTACAAGCAATGTTTATTACACTAATTGTGAGTTTTTGAACTTCGACGTAATATAATGTGAACCATTGAGATTATTTTAAATTAAAAAAAAATAAGTATCAAACGCCACATTATACCTTTGAAAAAAACTTTTCAACGAATTCAAAGGAATTTACAACAATTCAAACGCAGTCATTTACAGTTGTCAAAGTCATAACTTCCAATGGTAAAATATACAACTAGAGGAATAAAAAGAAATTCACATACAAGAAATCACGTAAAATAAATTTTTTTCATCAGCTGTTTTTATTATGAACTTTTCAACAACAAAAAGAGTCAACTTCAAAAATTGTGTAAAAATACAACACCAAAAGATTAAAGAACCCACAATATCAAATAAAATACGTTGTCGTAGGGCAGTTTTGTTGAAGAATATTTCGAGTGTTTAATAATAAAATAAATTCATAATATAATTTAGATTAAGTCACCCAGACAGCAAATGATTGACTAAAAATATTATTATAACCATACGAATATTCTGAAAGTTGTGCTATATCTGTATGTTCAATTGAAATATTTAATATAATATGTCACCCAAAAACATTTTATAACTAGAGCTCGGAAGTTGTTAGAGTTGTATATTACTCTATACGTTCTAGATTTATACCAGATAAAGTAGGAAGTATTTCGTCAATTTTAGGGAAAAAGTGCATATTCTTGATGTTCATATATGAATTATGTTCGCATATGATGTACTTAATATTTTCTATAAAAAAATCTATCTTTTTCTTTCTTAAACTGTGTATTTTAATAATAATATTTAATATAAAAGTCAACATTATTTAATGTAGGTATTTATTGTTATGGTCGAAGTCGACTGTTAGCTTAACGACAACGGTGCAAGGCGATTTTAACCTCTATCGCTCAAATATCCTGATAAACTATCTTTTCAAAAAAAATTTTTTTCATTTCAAAAAATTTTATCAAAGTATATAAATTTTTTTTTAATTTTTTTACATTTCAACTAGTGCAAATTAATAACAACATAAAATGGTTTTTTATTTTGGAATAATTTTGAATTTTTATGAATATTTATTAAACTGTTTTGCATATTATACATTCCATCATACATATATTACAATTTGTTCGTGCATATTTACATCTATATTTTTCATTTTTTAGCTTCTGTTACTTCCGAGACCTAACTTATAACTTACTAGATAAACAATATATTAACCGAGATGTGTTTATCACATTGATGATTATGAATGTGGCAGCTCTTTAAGTTAAGGTTCCGAAAAATCTAAGTGTTTTTTTTAATATTGGTACTTTAAAGATGTCTTTTTTTATCTTAACAATTAATTTGCATTGAACAAAATAAATAGAATTTATAAATTAAATGTCTAAATATTATAGATAAATTTTAAAGAAAGTGAATTTTACAAAATATTAGAATTATTTTAGAAAACAATCTAATTTTAATTATTATTAGTTGTAGCATTTTCTTCTGAACTGATTGAAGCAAGTCAGATTCTCAAGAAACATAAATCAAACCTAACTCTGTATCTGGTTTAGTTTTTTATTTTTATCATAATTTAAAGTAATAAATGTAACACGGCGCATTGTATAGGCAATAGTGGTACATTACCGTGCCGAACAAAACACCATTATCATGATGGTAATATTATCTAGTACCTATAATATTATATTATTATTAGTTTATTACATACTATAAATACTTATATGCCAAATACTACTCACTCACTCATTCATCGCTACACCTCAAACACTACAAAACGTACGAACTTGAAATTTGGAACAGAGATTCCTCTAATGATCTAGTCATCTATATGTGCAATAAGAAAGGATTTTCCAATAATTTTTGGTTTTATATAAACGGTTTCCATTGGTTACTCGGGTAGATCAGGTACAAGCTATCAAATTGTCAAGCTTATAACCTTGAATTAAAAACTAAATCTTAACACCAAATTTACATGGTCATAGACACGGGAACCCATTGGGGACGTACCCCTCCCCCCATTGATCTATTTTTAGATTCTGAGCAGGGCGATAATTGTATTCATTTTACAATGATGTTTGTTTTTTTTTTTTTGTCCGTCATCACCTTTTGGGGCAGTAAAAATGCTTCAATTTTCTATTTAAGCATATCTTCTGGTAGGAAAGTGAATATAGTTGGTATTTTAGCGAAAATTTGATCAAAAGTTAAAAATTCTCAGTAGTTTTCAAAAGCGCAGAGAAAAAAAAAGTTTTCGACAAAATCGATTTTGGTTTTTGGTGTAACACTAAAACAAATAATCATAGATACATGTAATTTTCACTGAATGTTTTTATTAGCATTTTCTATACACGATACAATATTCAAAATATTTTTTTAATTTTTTTTTTTCTATGAATGTCAATAAAATTTTGTTTGTTAGAATATACACCCGGATTATCCAATCCACGAATAAAATTGAGGTTGTCCATTAAGGTCGAATTTTTTCTCAAAACTAGGTACGCTAACACCGATATGATGTCAGTAAAGTGAGGTACACTAAAACCAAGATACACCAATATAGCGTATATACTATGCAGGATTTGTCACCAAAAAAAACTGGACACGGGCGAAGACATAAATATATCATTTAATTTAAATAATTATACAATATTTACATTTGTAGTACAAAAACCATAAAAGATGTTTTTATTTATGTGAAATAGGTTGCAGACGTAGGGAAATTAACTGCGATTTGGTATGAATTTATATAGAGTGAAATAACGATTTAGAGGTCATTATTATTTGTCATTTTGTGTTAGAAATGTGTTTGGTCTCAACAACATTTAATAAAAAAATACTATGTCTACTTATACGAACACGAGTAAAATGTAGTATAGTTGTATAGTCTATTGATTAAATTACTATGGCAGTATTTGGTGATAAATATACACAAAAACTCCACAAGTGCTTACCGAATGTATTACAGAACTATGTATAACTTATATCATCAACATCTTAATCGGATACTTAAAAACCATGCCGATTACTGACGCGTCTAAAAATAAAGTAACGAATACGATACGGTTATAAAATATTACATTATCTAGTATCTGAACGTATCTAATATCGTAAATTGATCATACAAAAAAAAATTTTAAGAAGTATTGAGAAACCTATTAGGCAGAATGTTCGTAATTATTGTGAGAGTGGCCCAACTTGCTAATACACAAAGTATTAGGGTTTGCAAATTATTGGTCAGAGTATTTGAAAAAATAAGGAAAATTGTGTTAAACAAGTGTAAAAGGCGAATATGTTTACGTCAAAGGTGAAGTGCACTTGGGTTTTTGGAAGACTTACGACACACCATTTCGTAACGTCATGCTCGAATGTGCGATTTAATTCTGCCGATAGCGAGTATGTAGCCGTGTGGGTGGTTGCAAGATATGTAGTACCTAATCAATTTTGCAAAAGCCATTTAGTATGTACATTTAGTAAGATTAACGCTAGTTCCGCAATCTCATTATAGCCGCATCGATGGCTGCCATCACGAGGATCAAAGGTCGTTATAATCGTATAAATATTATACTATACCTAAACAGAAAATACCGTGGGAATATATAAAAAGAGAGTACCTAGGCTAAATCGTCGATGGTGGTGGTGATGGTGGTCGGGGTTTTAAAAAACACTTCACGCCCGTATATGGGATAATATTATACACATGAGTGAATATCATTATAATACGCTAATATAGTTAATGGTAGATAATATAACTTATCACGATGTTAAACTTATCTGTTTCAGGTTGGTCCTGGCGATGACGATGAAGACTGGATGCGCAATATGAGTGTTGGTACGCAGCGGTAATGATTCTATCGACGTCGACGACGACGACGGCGATGATGATGATGATGATGATGACGACGTCGATGACGACGATGACAATCTCATCGTCGCCGGGATGTCCAGCGGGGTGCGCGTGCAAGTGGAAAAACGGCAAGCAAACGGTCGAGTGCGTGGACAAGAAGGTGACGAGCGTGACGATGGCTCTAGGCATCGACCCGGCCACGCAAGTGCTGGACATATCGGACAACGATCTGTCGGCGGCCGGGCTGCCACACGACACGTTCGCCGCGGCCGGCCTGTCCAACCTGCAGCGCATCCACGCGTCCCGTTGCAACGTGTACTACGTGCACGACCGAGCGTTCAGGGGCCTGACAAACCTGGTGGACCTGGACCTGTCCGGTAACTGTCTGCGGCAGGTGCCGACCGGCGCATTCGCCGAGTGTCCGTCACTGATGAAGCTCAGCCTGAGCGGCAACCCGATCGGCGACTTGCCGACCAGGGCGTTCCGGCACCTCGGCCAGCTGACCGCGCTCGACCTGAGCAGCTGTGGGCTGACCGCCGTCGCAGTAGGCGCGTTCGATGACCTCAGCGGTCTCGACTGGCTCAGGCTGGACGACAACCTGTTAACACACGTTCCCGGACCGAATACTCTGCCCACCCGGTTACACGGCGTCGACCTGCACCGCAACGACTGGCAGTGCGACTGCCGCATGGTTGACATGCACCGGTGGCTGACCGCCTCGCGGGTGCCGGTCACAGAGGAGCCCGTGTGCTCGGGTCCGGCCGCTTACGCTGACGTGCCAGTGCGCCGGGTATCGGTGGCCGAACTGGCGTGCGCGCCGGCCGCGTACCCTGCCACGCAACCTGTGCAGGACGTGGCCGAGGGCGTCAACGTTTCATTCCGGTGCCTGGTGGCCGCCATCCCAGCGGCCACGGTCGAGTGGCTGTACGGCGGCGTGCCCGTGTACCGGCACAACGCGTCCGAGCTCATCACCGTGGACGGAAACACGACAGCCGAACTGTACGTGTACAACGCGAGCGTGGCCGACGCCGGTTCGTACGCTTGCGTAGCCGAGAACCGGGCGGGTAGGGCTCGCGTCAACTTTACGGTCACCGTCCGGCCCGGGCGACCGTTCCTGGCTGCGGGTACCGTCGACGACCGATCCGCACCGTCTCAGTCGTCGTCGGCCACGGTGGGTGGCGGTGGGGGGACCAACGGAGGAGACGGCCGACCACTCCTGTACGTCGGCTGTTTGGCCGCCGGCTCGGTGGCGCTGTCGGCTGCGGCCGCCGTACTGGTGGCCATCAGGTGCAGGCGGGTGAAACGCTCCAGCACCGGCGGCCGAGCCAGCGACTCGTCGTCCACCTGCAAGCGAAGACCCACCGCACCCGCGGCCGACGGTTATCGGACAGTCAGTACGACAGCCGACAAGGAGCTCTCGGTACCCCCGGCCAACCGTCCGGCACCGGCACGGGCGACTGCCACCTTAGTGACGGTAACAACGACGGGGCCGGATGGGGCTGACGACACCACCGTCGCGACGACCGAGAGCAATCCAGACGTGGTGAGCGACGTGAAGCGCACCGGATGGGAGATCGATTTCGAGCAGATCGTCTGGGCCGAATGTCCGCCAGCCACCGGTTACGTTTCCATACAGATACCGGTGCAGTGCGGCATCGAGTGTCTGGGTGCGTATTACGCGACCGCCGCCGAGGCCGTGGCCGGGAGCCGCTGTGGCGGTGCCGGGACCACGCTCCGGAGACAGCGCCGACGGGCGGCCGTGCTGACCGCTTACGACGACACAGTGCAGGTGGTGCGCACCACCGCGCAGGGGGGTTATCCGTCGACGACCACGGGGCCCGGGACGATTGGCTTCGCTGCCACCGCCGCACCGCCACCGACCATCGTTGTGGACGACCCGGACGACGACGTCGGCGGTGGCGGTGTTGGCGGTGTCGCGCCCATTATTAGCCCTCCGTTGCCGTTCCGGTCGGGCGACGAAGACGGCGCCGACAAAGACGACTCCATCGCTCTGTAATAATAGCTAACGGCACACCAAAGCTATATTGTTTTTATTCACATATTATATTATTATTGTACTATTATTTGTTCGCGAAAAGCCATTATAATAATATTATTATTACGTTCTTGGTGGCTCGACCGGATACGTGTTTGTTTCGCGACATGATTTTTTTTTTACTTAAGCAATATCAATAATTATATAATTAAGCATTGTATTATATTATAACTTAGAGTTACGGGTATGATAATTATTAATACCATTATTATTATTATTATTATTATTATTACTATTGTTAAAATTAATACAGGACTCTACGAAAGCAAAAATAATAATTTTAATTGTCTGATAGCTGTAAAGAAATCCATATATTCTCTTAAAACCACTTCAGTAGACCGCTAGAGAAACAATGCTACACCTTCGATTAAGGAGACGACTATATTTATAATATGCTAGCAAAACAGCAGATCCTACGGCCAAAACGATGATGAAGAAGAAGAAGGAGAATATTAATATTATTATTACCTTTATAAAATGTCATCAAAATTATGTAAAATTTGATGGAGTTTAATAATTATATTATATTTTATAATAATATAATATATAATACTATTATAGTAAACGGGAAACGTATTATGCATAATATAGTGAAATAAACAAGGTGTGTTTTTTTTTAAGTATGCATTTATTTATTCATAATAATATTATATTGTTTAATTACAACCTTTACAAGCAGTCCACCGAGATATTGAAGAAATATCCCTGTTATGTCTTGTCGGACCACGATTATAAATTAATCAGGTTATAATGATGGAATATCTTGGGACTGCAGGTGTGTCAGAACCGTTCAATTCGAGAGCAATCGAATTATAAAATAATTCAATTTATATATAGATTATAGGTATAAATTATATACATATTGGTGGATTAGATAAATAATAATTATAGTAACAAAAACATTATAAACACGGTACGAAACCCTATTCAGGTGATATTATTGTGATGCTGTCACATTTTAACGTAGTATATTGTATATTGAATATTCGAGTTTAAACTATGCGATGATAATAATAATAGGTACATATATTATAATATGTATACAAGACAATACATATCAAACATTTACACGAACGTGCTTTGGTACAGATAATACATTATAATACAGTGAGTATAGGTATAAAAGGAAATAAAACATTGTACCTATATATATATATATCATAGGTATGAGCTGAGGTTAAAAAAACGGTCAGAAAACCAAATCATGTAATACTAGATCATAATATTATATTAAATTTTGCAAGGATATCTATCGTTGCGATCAGAAATAGATTTTTTAATAACATAATAATAATAGAATATCAAATTATAATATTTATGTACCAACAAATAAATACCGTAGATAGTTAAGTAGTAGTAACAAGGGAAAAAAGTGAAATGAGATAAAAAACATCTCTGAGGAAAAAACATAATATACTTATCGGGGGGCTTTTTTAATTATTCGTTTATAAAATTCAGGTTTGCCATGTTTTTCACAATATTTTTTAATTTATTGATTTTTTTATAATTATTTGTTTTTTAGTAATAATAAGTATAAACACTTATGTAATTGAGTTTTAAGTTTTTTTAAGAAGACGCTATCCATGTCTCCGTGACACAAACAAACGAAATGGCAAATTTTGTTCTCTAGTTTCAATAATGTGCTGTTAGTTTTGATATTAGAGTGAATTTACCTATTATCAGACTTTTAGATAGGAACAATATCAGTGACTCGGCGATATTTCGATATTTTAATTTTCGAGCAAGATAATATGGGTACCTATATTATACACGACAAATTAAAAATGCTCATATTTTGCTTGAAATTAAAATACCGAATGCAAGCCGGAGCTTAAACACCGAATATGTTCATACCTAAAAGTTTGACAATAGGTCAATTCACTCCAATATAAAAAGTAACTGCACACTATTGAACCTAGTAAACGAAAATTTGTCATTGCGTACGTGTGTAAGACGTAGACAACTACAAATGCATGGTGAAATAATATTTTAACCAAAAACAAACGCTGTTTAAAACTATTTAAAGCCCGAACTAATTGTTTCGTTAAAAACATAATTTTAAGCAAAACAAAACTATTTTTTTCCCGAAATGAAAAAATAAACCATCCCCATTCATTATGTAACGAATAATAATCGAATTAATTTTATTGAGTATACAAACAGAAAAATGCATTAAAACAAATTTGATAGAAGGATTTTTCGGAACCGACATTAATTTAATCTACTGGCAATTGGCATAATAAGCAACTAATCTTTTAGAATTCTAAGCTATAGTGGAAGCTTAATCAACATCAACTTTAATTAATTTAGAGGAAGATTATAGCACCGATGTTTATTAACCGTACGATACGAATATAAATTGATATTAAACTTTAAATATATCACTACCCTGGGACTGTATTTTCACTCGGCTTCAATTTATTACTACACTATTTATTCGCGTTGTCATCTGTTGTTCGCAGTCGGCCATGAGTTCCCGGTACGCGCACCTCGGCCAGAGAAATTTTTAGATGGTGCTAGGGGAGGGACCAGGTGCCATTTTTTAATAGGAGCTTATAATTGTTATTAACATTATAAATATTAATGTAATAATAAATTATTTATATAATTCATGATCCGAGCCTATTAACTATTCATTAGAAATTAATTTTTATTCTATGAACGTTATAACCTGTTTAATTCCATTTTCTAAGTGATATTTTGGGAAATACTCAGCTTATTGAACGTTATAATTTCTCATTGTTCTGTGTAGGTTTTCTGTTCAATTTCAAACACGAAAGTATTAAATACATTTTTCCTGACAACAATTATAATAGGGCTGGAAAAATATCATCGGAGTATGAAAATTCTGAACACTACACTGATCTCAGAGTAGTGCGTGCTATCATCCTTATGAATGAATCCAGTTGAAAGTTTATCTGTAACAGTACATAATAAATATATAATGATGCTATATTATATTGGTTTTGGAAAATAATAAAACATCGTTAATAAATTATAAAATATAACATAAGTAATAATACTGACTCTATAACAATATTAGAATAATTAAAAATCAAACGACATGCATGTCATAAATACTTGACTCGTTTCATAATATTCTCACCATATATTCTCGACACATATTTTTTAGCTTTTGTTCATATTTATTTTTTTTATTTATGTAAAAACTGTACCTACTTAAACTAAAAAATCTATAATCTTAATTTCAATATAAAAAAATAAATAACATTTAAAACGAGTTAAGTAAAAAATATAGTTTTAAATAAAAGTAAAATAGTATATTATACTAATATTGAATTAGATGGGTTATGGATACCTACCTAACATTGAAATCTAAAATTGTGACCTAAACCCAGTCAATTACTAAGACTATTAACATAACATTATTATACAATCTTACACCGTCATGAGCATTGAGTCAATATTTTATATCAAAACTGTTCAAAGCAGTTTAGGAGTGGTTTAGTGGTTATAGTGGTTATATACGTTTTAAAATAAAAATTCCTGTATTTAAATTTTTTTTTGTGATCATGGATAAAATACAAATTCTTAAAACAGACAGATTAGGTTTAAAAATTGTTTTTTAAGACTATATGTATACAAAACAAAAAAATGTGAGTGTGGAAAAAAAAATTGTAAAGGTACCTATAGTGTAACAACTACTTCCAGACTTTTCGCAATAGAAACGTCAAATTTATCAAACGAACTCATTATATTTTGTTTATACAATCTTTTTTTAAATTATATTTTTACTTAACTTGTTTTAAATATTATTTATTATTTTTTTATTGAAATTAAAATTAAAGATTTTTTAGTTAAAGTACAGTTTTTACAAAAATAAAAATAATAAATATGAACAAAAGCTAAAAAATATGTGTTAAAAATAATAATTTTATATTCGAAGGTTATTCCGTATCCAAAAAGTTATCCGGGTGGGGAATGTCCTACTACGCCGAAAACAGCCGGAGGGGAAATGTCCGGATACCCTTTTAACTATGAACCATCTTTACCAATATCTAATGAAAAAATGAATTAAATATTTTTCAACCACAATCGTCTGGAATTAATTTAAATAAATTCCTAGACATAGGAAATTTTTAAATTCAAAATCTCATATCAATTATTTGATTAAAAAACAAAATTCACCAGAGACCCACAAATAATAATAATTATCATTTTTCTACTCACAAAATATGTATGTTTAAAACCAACCAAAATAAATTATCTGTATTGATTATTATGTTTTTTGCAATAATTCAATTTTTGTAGTACCAAGTCATTATTTTATTAAACAATAAAATTAAGTGTCCAGATAATTAAGCTGATTAATGTTCAATATAAGGGTTTTATAACCATTATTATAGGCTAGAAAAAGCACATTGAGTTTATTAATGTACAGTAGTAAGTTACATTTTTCTAAGAAACTGCAAGAACTAAGACAATGGAGAATTAATTAGGTACCTATTCATTTTAAACTTGCGAAGTCACCTATATGAGTGGGCACCATAGGGGCGTTGAGTGGTAGAGAAATAAAATAAAATTTAAATTATGTTTTTCGATTTCCAGATAATTAGAAAATAGCCGTATTCGTTAAACAGGATGGGCTCGGCGGCATACACGCAGTTCGAAAGAAATTATATACCTAATTATATAGAAACATTGCAGTTTTTAGAGTTTAATTAATATTAATGTGTATACCGTATACGTGTATGGTGTATCGCACTATAGTTTATTTAAATTAGTGAGGTAGATTCTATGAATGTCATCGTTATATTATAAGAAAAACAAATGCAAGTACAACGTGAGAAACTTATTTAATGTACAAAACATGTAGGTAGGCACACGTGTCGTAGATATGCTATCTATGAATTATATAGAAAAATTATTTTTAATGACAAAACTTGTATACAATTTTTAAAAGATCGTGAATCATTACCTAACACGAAATTGTGTACCAAATTAAATTCTGTTGGAGAACAACAGAATTTGGACTCGGTGGTGTGGTGAACGGTAATTTCAGAGGCAATTTCCTCTGAGATTTTTTTTAAATAGAGGGGTGGGTGGTAGCTTGTGTGGCCCTCAGTAAATGTAATATTATATACTATATGACCCGAAATAAAATTAGTTATATTATATTAATACATTATCATGCATTAATAGGTACTTGATATATTTGTAACTTTCCTCTGGAAAATGTTCAGTTCACCACGCCACTGAATGTGGTATTGAAATGAAAGAAACTTTTAAAAAAAGCCAAATACGGGATTTGAACGGAAATGTTATAGTTATTTCAACAAAATATTTACGATGTCAAAAAAGGGTTGTCAAACATGTCAATCCATTCGTAAAGAAAATCCATTGTTTACATACATCGATAGAAATGGAAAAAATAATAGTGGACTAAGTTTGTGAGAAATAATGGAACTTGTTTGGTGCTGCCGTGCTGGGCGAATCAATATAAAAATATACAAACAGAACAAATTACTGGTAGAGGACATCACACAGTCTCAGATTGGTATAATTTGTGTCGAGACTTTGTCTTGGAATCGTTTAAACATCGAGGAAAAATGGGAGGTAAAGAATATACATAATATACAGATGGACGAGTCTCTTTGCCAAGGCAAGCGAAAGTACAACGCAGATTACGGCTTGGTGTTCATAGACCTAATGATAATGAAAATTCCTATTCTGATTCAAGTTCTTGTTCTTATATTTTGAAAACGATTCTGACGAAGAAATTCAAAATATTGAAAACCAAAACAGAAATTGCGGAAATCGTGTTTAAGGACCCTGGGTGTTTGGTGTGTGCTGCTTGCGTCAAGATAATATTTTATGGTTGATAAAAGAGATCGTGATTCGTGAACATTGCTACCCATAACTGTCCAAGAAATAGAACCTGAAACAACAATTTATTCAGACGAATGGAGAGCTCTCATTACTCTTAAAGATCATGGTTTTCTTCACAAAACAGTTAATCACAGCCAAAAACTTTATAGATCCAATTACAGGTGCTCAAACACAGACTATTGAATGCTTATGGAAACACACATGCAAGTGAAGTATGGAATCAGAGCTCGAGGAGCGACCAATCTCCTTGAAAGGCAGTTGCAAGAAGAATGGTGGAGATCCGTCAATCAAAAAAATACATACATACAAAGACGATACATAAAAAAACATTTTTGTAAAAAACTTTTTTTTTTAATTTTATTAGAATATTTACAATCTATGCTACAAGCCACAAGGCATAATAAGCAAATTTGATCATACATACAATTTTTGTCCAACACCAGATGGTGTATGCGAGTAAAGTCTTTAAAAACATTATACTTCAAATTACAATTATGCAGTTTTAATAAAGTTTTTAGATAATATATCAAAAGAGAGGTCAGAGAATGGTGCCAAAGCAAATGGTTTTCTCAAACAATTGCACAAATATGAATTTTTATTTTATACTAAAGTAACGATTAATATTTTTGAGAGGGTTGAACTTCTCAATGCAGAACTCCAAAAGATTTCTTTAAACTTCCATGAAGTAAAAATTTTAATTGTTTAAAATGTTACTAAAAACTTTTATTTTATTATATACTCGGACACTCGGTATTCATTAAAAATTATATAAAATATTATAATATTGTAATTTGTAAATATGTTTTGTTACCAGTTTATATTAAATGTAGTATAGGGTGTGAGGGGGAAAAGCCCCTCACTAATACTTGACGTCAGTGGCACACAGGATTTTTTTCGGGTTGGAGGGGCGTTATTCTATTAATAATTTACTATAGAGATAAATATTGTATAGCCCTAACATTATACTAGGCCTCGGAGAAATTTCGAGGGGGGGTGAAACCCCTTAAACCCCACCACAACCCTGCGTGCACCGCTGCTTGACATTGGTAAGAGCACCCAATACATTTTTGAAAACCTGGCGCCTATGGATACATTGGAAGGCTTGGAGGGTACGTATTTGAGATGGTTTAGCGCATCCCATTGTAAAAAACTAAAGAAATATTATGAACAACTGTCAACAAACAGGCTATTGAGCAGGTTAGTAACGTAAGTTTGTAGATTTGTATGTGATTTTTTGGTAGATAGCATACGACACGTGTGCGTATATTTGTGTAGACATGATTTTCTTGGTAGAGAGCATATGACACGTGTACCAAGGCCAACATGTATCATTGCACTACGTGTAGGAAGGTAGCCGGAATCCTATTGCGACGACAGTTTTCCGAAGAGCCATTTACTCACATTTATTAGTGTGCTCGTTCGAGTCGTTCCCGTTATTTCCCATGTTTCTGTGGCATATAAATTAAACATAATAATATATTGCAATTTGTACTGCATAGTATATACCAACATAATATATAGTTGCTTGATAATTTAACGATATATTTCGGGCTAGATAAATCCAAGCCAAGTAAGTTTATTTATTAATTATTGTGAGTAGAATTTTATTTCCTACATTTTTAAGGTTAACTATAATATTATACTAATGTGTTATTATGAGAAACATTTAAATACATTTTTTAATTTTGGTACCAAATTATCATTAGAATCATTAGATTAATATCCTATGAAATTATATCATAAGCCTACAGGTTTTAAGTCAGCTAATATTTGCTAATTAAATGTTTGTAAGAGACTAAAAAAGTCAAAGAAAAATAACGACCGTAAATTTGTCATCTATATATAATGATCGTTATAAAATTGATTAAATTAAAATAATAAATAATAGGTACAATATAAAAACAATTTTTAACTAAACCTAAAATTAGCGGGTAATAAACAACAATAAAAGAGCAGACGCAATTTTTTTAATTTTACTCTTGTAATAAAAAAAAACATTATATTGTTTTAGTATTTTGTGATTGAATTTTATATAAATTTAAAAAATATAGGTAGGCAGAAAATTCGTTATTTTTTATTTAAAATAATTGACAATTTTTCTATACACTTTAATACAGAGAAAAATGTTACATCAACTTTTTATATGATGTAATAAATAACAATAATAGCATGTCAAATACCTCTAACAATTCCCATCACAATAGCTTCCGCTGATCTTCAACTAAAACTATTTAAAATGTATCAAAGTAATTTAATTTCACAAGATCGCTTTTTTTCAGAATTTATTACTTTTTCGAACAAGAAAAAAAAATAGTAAATGTTGAAAATCATTTTTTCAACATTTTGGTTAATATTATTACGCAATAAAACATCTAAAATGATAGTTTTTCTTATTTCATTATAATTGAATAAATTCATGTTTAAAATAGCAATCTAACATCTAACTATAATACCGGTATCCGTTGGTAAGTATTTTGGGAGGTGCGATCGGCTCTGGTGGCACTTTTTTATAAGAACATACTTACATACCTACCATACTTTCTTTTATAACGATATTATAAATTATAACATAATAATATTTTTGACCCTTTTCTGATCTTAACTTGTTTTGTATTATTAAGACCGGCCGTCTTTTATTTTAATTTATTTGAATAAATTGTACCTATATCAAAATTTACCAGGAATTCGTAATTAATATAGATTATTTGATATTCGTACCTAATCCTCGGGAAACAGCAGGCTGAATTGATGAGTATCTTAAACATACATACAATAATTGTACTGTATACCTACGTTATATGTTACCATGAAGACTAGAATATAGAATATTCTTATAGCCTTCATGATGTTACAATAATGTCACCTTATCAAGTATAACGTTTGTCCACATTCAATTTGTTTAAAAATTATCAAACATTGAAAAATATTTTTAAGACAGAGCTCTCGGAAAAATAAATGTTAAATGTACGTATCTACTTCCTTTCAGATGTATATAAAAATACTAACTAGGTAAATAATTGAAACAGCTAAGTTTCAAAATAATTTTACACTTTTTGACGTACATATAGACATTCAAATATTGTTTTTTGGTAACATTATAACATTACCATAACATATAAACATTTAAAAGTATTTAAAATAAAAAGTTACAATTTGATTATAGACGTGAAAGTGGCTTTAAAATTTAACAAAATTCATAAAAATGTTTTGAAGTTGTAAAAAAATTTGTAAAATATTCAATTTGAAAACATAGGTTTGAAAATTGAGTAAAGATTCCTTATATGTAGTTCTTACAACAATGTATTTGATAAAATATTTTGATTTTTGTTTTGACTCACTTGCTAAATTAAAAAATATTAAAATGAGTATTTAAGTTACCTATTATATTTGTCATTATACATTTTCTTTTTTTTAAGTATATATTACCTTTTAAATAATATCTGAACTCTTTACTACTTTGGTGTGTTATATTTAAATAAATAATATGCATAATAAATATCAAAAATACATATTATAATTTTAGTTATTTTGTTGTAATTCAAAAATTATTATTTGTAGAACCCTTAAACTCTTGGCCATTAAGTAAAAAAGTTATACTATTATTTTTCAAGAAGGGTCAAATTAATTAAAAATAAATAATAATATATACCATGTAAAAGCATAAACAGACAACTGGGGGTACATATATGCTTAGCCACCTCCGCTCAAAAAATATATATGTCCAAAGCCCTCCACCCAATTTAAAATTATTATTTTTTTTAAAATATTTTTTGTATAAAAAAAAGATTTATTTACTTAATATATATATTATATATATTGTATAAAATATTTAGTATTGAATAAATGATTTAATTGGAATGTCAATTTTTTTCCGTGCTTGTAAATCACAAAGTTCCATAATAACTACTGCTTGAACTACTTCTGCCCCAGTTTTCCTCAGTAGTTTAACGGCAGCTTCAAGAGTACCTTAAAAATATTAATTCAAAATTAGCAGGTTAGGTGGGCTACATTTATGTACTTCTTCAATTTAAAATAAATATATTTTTTTGAACAATGTAAGAAATAAATAATAAACTATTTAATTTAATCACATACCTCCAGTTGCTAACAAATCATCAATGACCAGAACTCTTTTTCCTTCTTTTAAGACATCTAATTGAACTTCCAATACATCCTAAAACAAACCTTATTTTAAACCATGTATTTGCTTCATTAAAATATTATAATGTATAAATAAATTTACTTGTTAATTAAATTAAATTAGTAAGTAATGAAGTAAATAACAGTAAACTTTTTTGATGTTTCGATTTTTTAGGTGAATTATATTTAATTTAATAATAATAGACATATTATATTATTATTAAAAACAACATTTGATCATACAATTGACTTCATTTTTCAATAAACATGTAAACAAAAATGTTAACTTCATAGTTTGAGATTGATAAATAATTCATATTATACAATGTATTGTACTAATATCTGAATATATCTCTATTTCAGTTTTAAGTCTTGTAATATTTAGTAAGATACTTGCGATATGGTTTTTGCTGAGGAAATATTTCAATTGCAATGCAGATTTCTCATTTTGAAAGATTGAAACTACTATTATTTTTAAGTATACAATGTAAAATTTATTATTTGATAATTTAATTTAATAGGCTTGTATTTTAGAAAGGGCTTATATTTACTATGTTTTTTTAAGCATTTAAATTAAGATGATAACTTAAATATTATGCATACTAAATGCTAATGTTAGTAACAAAAGTAAATTACCTAGTTTAATTTTTTTCTATAAACATGATAAACCCACATTATTTATAAGACAATTATTCTGAAATACATCTTCATAGTTGTTAATAATATAGATACCTTTTAGGCATATTACATCTTTTAGTATTTTATTTTATCGAATGAAATAAAACACAATTGAATCAGTGGCGTCATTTCAGTTTTTATTAGACTAGGGCAATTGTTCACTACTTTTCCGACTCAACAATTTTTTCACTCAGATTCTCATAGCATAGTGGCATAGTGGTAAACGGGGGTGGGGGGAGTGTGATAAATGTACCGACTTAAGGGGTATGAATAGTATTGAAAAAATCTATAAAAATGTACTTTTATATTTCCAATAATATGGTTTATTAAGTGGTTTGAGAGTAAAAACACATATTATCAATATTGTAGAAGAGAAGTTAATCTGTGCCTGTATAGAAGTCAAATTTTAATATTTGTAATTACTAAACTCAATAATTCAAATTCAAAAATTAAAATATCATAAGTTTTAGAGTTAAATATTGGACATTGAAAATAAAATATCGAAAATCGACTCCTATACAAGCCTAGATAAACTCCTTCTCTTCAATTTGTATAATAGGTGTTCATACTGTAATGTCACTCAGTAAGCTATATTATTGGAAATACGAAACTAAGTTTCAGTGTTTCACTAAAATTTACATTTGTAATTAGAGTGTAAAATGTTCCGCTAATGACATGTGCGTGCACGTGCGGGTGTGCTCCACTATTTATTTTATACACAGTCACCCACACTAATAATCACTTACTACGCACACATTTACACGACCCGCATGCACACCATTAGAAAATTGCCTATACCGAACTCCTTAGAAACGGTCGGTATGCATACCCCTTAAGGTTGATGTAAATACTAGAGTACTAGACTGGGGCAAATGCCCCAGTTGCCCTCCCCCAAATGACGCCACTGAATTGAATCTTATATTGAACCTATTACTTTCATAGTTAACACACAAACATAAAACAAAATACAATTTATAATTATTACTTTAGCATATTCCAAACTATACTCTAGTTGAGCTACTTTTCCAGGTAACTTTCCCTTCTTCCTAACTGGAACACAGGGAACATTTAAGTGCAATGCCATTAAAGTGCCCAACAAAAATCCTCGAGCTTCCAACATTGCAACACAGTCAACTTTACCAGCGATTTCAACCGCATATTTTTTCAAAATATTATTCAACAATTGTAATCCATCAGTACTTTGGAAGACATTGAATATATCTCTGTAAATATAATTGCATATTTCATTATTCAAATTTAATTATTAAGATTAACTCACTATTAAAACTATGATTGATTTATTTTTACATAATACAAAATACAGTAGACAACTTTAATGATATACCTATTTACAAGAGTTGGCCCTTTAAACAACAATTAAAAAAAAAAAAATGGTAACATTTCTAAGGTCACCTAAGAAATTTCAAAGAACCTAGAAATAATAGTTTCATACATTCTACAATATTAAAATGTAAAATGATCAATACCTAGCTAATTTATTTTCCATAGGGCTTTTTCAAAACAATGATTATAATTGAATTTGTAGCAAAATCGTTAAGTAAAATAATGTCTATTCTATAAAGGTATTTTCATGAATCTTAATACAATTAGTAATTATTTAATATTTTAATATTAAATTAACATACAGATAATGTTTTCTTTCTAATATTCAAGGTTGGTAGATAACAAAACATTAAGCACTTGAAGAGATTATAATAACTACAGGAGCGACATAAAATATTGTAAAAATAATATCATCATTCATCAATCAAAAAATGAAGTACCCACCTAAACAATATTCCAGGCAGAGGGAAGTCTGGATATGACTTGATGTAACTCTGTAATGCTAGAGCATCATCTTCAATACTAGTAATCGACATTTTAAACAACTCCAGTAGAAATCCCTCAACGATCACGAACAATCCTATAAGAACCTGGAATGAAACAAATGGAAATTTTAATAATCACTACACGTGTATAAATCAAAAGAAAATTACCTGGTGCTGACGGTATCCACTCAAAGTCTGCCACTAAATTAACGTTTATATTCTAGATCAATTTGCTAGCGTCTGTGTGGATGTTATCTTAATGGATTTAAATGATGACGACACGTCATGAATCCGATAAATTGCATATCGCTCTAAAGTCTAATAAGACGCCACACAAATAATTGACTTGGCCTTTCAGAAACATTTAAAATAAATAAATACAACTCATTGGTAACTGATAACCGATAACTGATAAGAGTCCACTAGACAGTAGTTTAGTAGCCACTTTTTATAACGACTTAAGATAATAAATTCCGAACAGAGCGATCAATGCCATGGTATTTTACAATGATGTATTGATAATTGATGTGTCTGATTTTTTTGTTGTGTATGTACTATTCATACACGATTTGTTAGAAGTAAAAAAATATTTGATGTTCAATTTCAATAGGTATATTTTCTGGTAGGAAATTGAATTTAGTTGGTACCTACTACAGGGAGTTAAAGATTAAAAATTTCCTCATTTCAGTGTTTTTCTAAATAATCGGGGAAAAAATAGGAATTATTACTCAATACTCAAAACCAGATTTGACAAATCTAAGCACAATTTTTTTTATAGACATTTAAAGTTCAAATTTGGACCTAGTTAGATATTTGAAAGAAGAAAAACAATTTTAATTATTTTGTTGTAACTTGAAATTCAAAAATATTATTCTTAAAATTCTTTAAGCTTTTACATACCTATCTGGCTATCCAGTATCCATCATTATATTATTATATTTTATATAGGTACCCAATGACATTTTTAAAACTTTTATATTAATTTTTAAGCTACCTTGCTTATTTATTATTTACGAACCTATTCACACCAATCTACAGGTGGTCTTGACTCAAAAGTTACTAATAATAAATTATTACCTATAGGTAATAGGTATGTTTTATGACTAAGGCTCATATTTATATGTATAGACATTGTGAGCAAAATATGATAAATTCGTTTCAAATGATTGTAACAAATTGAGCAATAGGACATTGGTACCCTTGATATTACATATTTTTATTAGTGAACTAAAAAAAGCCCTATACACAAAATTCGTATTTTTTAAGATGATGTGTGTCTTATTTATTTATTTTAGTGTCGGTCATCACGGTTTGGGGCAGTAAAACTGCTTCGATTTTCTTCAACAGTACCTTGTTCGATAGGAAAGTGAATCTAGTTGGTACATTTGGGAGGTCAAAATTCCCAATAGTTTTCACAAGCGCCGGGAAAAACAACATAAAAATGAAGGAAAAACGGGAATCTTTCCGCAAAATCAGTTTTCTAAAAAAATCGATGTTGGTGTAACTCTAAAACAAATGAACGTATATAGGTAGTAGGTACATGCAATTTTCACTGGTTGTTTATGTTTGCATTTTCTATACACGATAACGTTTTCAAAATATTTTGATTTATTTTGAACTGTTTAAGGGCAGATGAAAAATATTAAAAATCCTTAGTCACAGTTTTTTTTATAAGCATTTAAAGTTCAAAAATTGACAAATATGGAAAAATCACGAAAATTAGCAAATTATTTTGAGTTAAGGATTCGTAAAAAATTTTCCTTTAAATCTAAGATTTGAAAATGTAATTCAAGATTCCTCATAAGTTTTTCTACCTTTATCAAAAAATAAATGTCCACAAGAAAGTTAAATTAAATTTTTATGAGCATTTGAAGTTCATATTTTTACAACATTAGATATTCACTCGATTTCTCATAGGTAACTAAGGTTCGGACTTCGGATTTGAAGGCAAAAGCGTTTTTTTTAATAATAATAATAATTTTTGTATAAAAATGCTTGTCATTTAATAAGTATTAAGTAGTAAGATGATGAACGTACTTTTTTACTGATGAATGCCTTTTTGCCTTTTTCACCTATAAATGCCTTTATTGTGTTTAATTTTCAATTGATTTAACAGTTTTATACACGACATATTACGGTACCTATATGTCAGGTACAAATCGATAAGATTTTCTGAAGACTGCATTGTCGGCTGTTAATTATTTTTAATGGGTTTTATCATCGGCGATATTTACCGATATCCCTAAATACTTTATCGAGTACCTACCTATTTGGTATAATGGTAATTGGTATGGCTTTAATGTTTATAAAAGTACCCATGCTACCTATCTATAAATTAAAATATGTTCATAATGCCTATCAGCCTATGTAATTAGTACTTACTAAAGATTCAAAATTGTTCGTCAGTCCGTCCCAATTATAGTTTGTACATACCTATATGTACAATTGTACAAACAATATTTTAATCCCAAACCGTCAACGCTTTACTGAAGACAGTTTATCTATATAAGTACATGATAGTGATTTTTTTTAATACGCACTGGTTAAATATACAATATACCATATACCTACAAACTATTTAATTTTTTAGTAAATTTTATTTGTAATCGCTTTTTAATATAAATTAAATGCATTTTTTGACATTTTGAATGTTTTTTTTACTGATTATATTGCCTTTAATCCGAACCAGTACACTGTATGACGTAGTGATTTTCTTATTTTATTGTATTTCAAAAACGAATTACTGTAAATACATTAAAATTTTACAGAATGTTTATATTTTCATGTCTATACACCATTAAACTTTGAAAATATTTTGACTTGTTTTGAGCTATTTACGGAAATTTTAAGAAGGTATCCTATAATTTTTTCTATAATTGTCAATAAATTGTATTTGTTGGGTAAGAAATCATTAACATTTAACACAAAGCTCCAGTTGTATTGTAACAAAATAGTAGTTGAAAAATATTAAAAATATTAATCTATATTAACAATAGTCAATATTGTAGAATAAAGTTATAGGTACCTACATGGGTTTTTTCGTAAACCCTAAATCAACTGCCTTCTGAGATGATTTTTTTTAAAAAAAATCAATTAATGGTCCAAAATACAATGTATCCTTGAATTTATATTGAAATATACATAGAAATAAAAAAAAATTCAAATATATTACTTAAAAATCATAAATTACCTATATAATTCAATATAGTGATAATAGGTAAATAACTTAGGTAGATGATAAAAATTATAGTTCAATCACAGAATATAACAATCCATTAAAACTTAAGAACCAATGATTTAGACTTTAGTCCAAGGTACCTATATGCATACCAATTTGGAAAGAATGAGTCCTTTTAAACCTTAATACAAATTTTTTGTAAGTATGGACTACGACACCATTAGTTCTAAACAATATTTAACATAAAATCCCACTAAATTTGGGAGCTTTTAAGACAAATTTAAATGTTGAAAATAAAATTTAAAAAACCAAAAATTGTACAAGGTAGGTACATGTCTGCTCAAAATCGAATTTCACTCAAATTTGACCCATCCATGACAGTAGTCAACTCCTACTGTACAGCAGAGTGGTTCCTTACTTTCTCCCTTTTTCTTAATATTATAATGTGTAATTATATAAAATTGAATACTTGAATTCATATTATTACCTATCATTGGCGCAAATAGGGGGGTGGCCGGAGGTGCTTCCCCTCCTAGAATCTATGATGATCACAACATCTCCCTAAATTTCAACCACTATTTACGCCTATCTTACCTATTAATATTTAATTTTAATATACATAGTACTGTACGCAGTTCAACAATAAAAAAAATCAACTATTATTTGTTATTAGTTATTACCAAGTATGTGAATCAGAAAATAGTGTATTATATATATTGTATATACACTATAAATAAGTAGATAAATAAATTATAATCCATCAACCTAAAAAAATATTTTAATTCAATCAATATTTTGGAAAATTCAATGACACTATTACTTAACAACTATATTTTGGAATATTTATAAAATATTGTGTTTATGCAAAAGGTACAATTTTTTTTTTTTTTGTAAATAATAATAATTTTAACAATAATATTTAATAAGATATTGTTATTAAATTATTTATTACACATAGTTAAATATAAAATAAAATAAAATTAACAGTTTGTTTCCAACAATTATTCAGACATTAATGATATCATTGGAAAATTTAATCTTTTACGTCCTTCTAATTCTAATTTTTCCATCAATACTAATCCTTGTACAATTTCGCCACCTGCTTTTTCAATTAACTTTGAAGCGGCTTCTAATGTACCTATTTAAAAATCAAAATGCATTTAATTAAGTTACATACTGACACTACAATTTATTTTTAAAATAAACATGTATAGTGAATTGCATAGAATTTATTTTTATTAGCAATAAATTGTTACTACTTAAAACTTAAAAGTATAAACTAAATTAAATGTAGAAACTCTATTGGAAAATTACAAATATGTAAATATAATTAAATTACCAGTTCAATATTTTAAAACAGTGTATAAATCTAATAATAAATGGACCTATTACTAGGTAAATTTAAATATATACATAATATATTGAGGTGAAATACAATTTTTAAATTTTACCCTCCCCCAGCTGCTAATTAAGCTTCGGATATGTCACTGCTATTAGATACATACTTTAATTATTTATCTAATATAAAAATTATCACCTATTATGTATTTATTTAATATCTGAACATATTAATTTAAAATCATGTAATATTAAAAATAGATTGCTATTGAATTATTTGAAATTAGAATGCACATAGCAATACATTTTAGAAATTAATTACTATTAAAAATAAATTAGAATGAAACAAAGTATTTATGTAATTTGAATAGCTAACCATATGCCAAATAATATAATCAATTATTATTTTATTAATTATCTTTGATGATAACTCCAAAATTTAAAATTGATACATAAAGCTTTCTTTTTATAATTACAAAAATGTAAAATGATTTCAGCCTGACCCTTAGTTTCAACATTTTATATGTTTGTGGAACCTTAAAGAATTTTTCTAATAGGTTATTCCATATTATGTTAGAAAACCTAAATACCCACTAAAGGATTAGAAACGTCCATTCAGAAACAGTCAGTCATTGAATTATTATATATCCTAAAAGTATTTAACAATAGCAGAAATAGACAATAGTAAGGTGTCAGTATTGACTCAACACCATAGGCGCAAATAGCGTTTGAGATTTGGGGTTGGGGGGGGCTGAAATCCTAGCTACTGAATGAAGCATTTATACAAGTAATTAACACCTAAAAATTGTTTTAGTACAACATAGGTATATCGTATACTGAGTACTTAATTACAATATTGACTGAAAATAAAACTTACTAAATATTTTTTTCAAATGTGCTATTTCATCTACTTATAAAAGTTGTCAAAATTATATTTATAATTATACATTATACATCACAAAACTTTTAGGAAATTATTAGGAATTATTAATACTGTAAGTATGGCTTTAGAGCAACAAGTAACAACAAAATGATATAATTATAGAACAAATTTTTATTTAAAAAAATGTACCCAATACATTTTTAGAGCTGTATTCTTCGGTTGGATTTAGCAAATGTGTTTAATATTATTTCAGTATCTACTATAATATCTTTTTCGATATTCAATATTGCTAAATTAGTAAATCGGCCCTGAGTCTTGTTAACTCGGACATATGTGTTGATCCTTCTCATAGTTGAAAAGGACCTTTCACAAGTGGCCGAGCCCCATTGGCGCAACTAGGGGGGGTGCTTTGGGTCCTTAGCACCCCCTAAGTCAAAATTAGCACCCCCTAGAAAATTTTTATTTGTTAGGTCTCATTGAATCACAAAAAAACCTGGAGCTTAAGCACCCCCTAGTTCAAATGTGTAGTTGCGCCAATGCCGAGCCCACTGGTAATGTTATTGCCACTTGCATAATTTTAAATAAATTAGGAAATACTTCTTCATTTAGATGTTTTTTGATATTTTCAAAATTAACTTCTTTCATCATGTTTTTCATAACATTCATTTCACATTTTAAGTTTGAAGAATTGATATCAAAAGTATCCTGTACACAAATATACAAACAGAAACAAAATAGTTTAAAAAAAGTATTTGTCAAATGGAATTCATAATTTATAAATATTGCTCAAATGCAAGTTACAACGTTCTTTATAATAATCAATAAGAAAAGATGATTGTTGAAAATTTAATTTAAATAATTCATTAACTGCTGTGGCAATTTTTAAATTCTCCTCTGAAAATCTAGTACTCAAACTAACTATAATTGCATCTAATATTAGATAATTAGCATAATACCATGACAAATAAAATTTGTTCATTTACAAATTACATAATCTTAAAAATACCAACACGAATTTGCATCATAAACTGTAATAATACCGATAAAGATAAAAAAAAATTAGGAAATGTTTGGGGGGCTATTGCAGTATTTGGGGGGGGTAGGCTATAAACCCCCTCAAACCCTATTTGAGCCTATGCTAAACACTGACAACACTACCCAGCATAGAATTATTAGCAGTGCTTTCCAAATTTCATAAATTTAATCATATCTTAAAACTAGGTATTTATTAATGTTTCTGTGAATAAGCTGTTAATATTTTAATTTAAATTATGTATTTTAAAAAATGAAAAATAGAAATAATGTGTCTTGTGATATAGAATATTCTCAACAAATTCTAGAAAAGAAATATTTAATATAATCTTTAATACTAAGTCGTTACTGTGAATGTATTGTAAATGTGTTATATCATATCTTATAATAGATCAAACAAATACATAATATTGTAAAAAGTAATAAGTTGTACATACCACCAGTTGCAAGAAAGTCATCCACTATGAATATCTTCTGTCCTTTTGTAATACTATTTAATTGTACTGTCAAAATATCCTGAGTATAAATATATAAAATTATTTTAATACATTTCAAAAAAATTAGTTTTAAGAATACAACTCTATAATAATACTATAATAGTTAATTACTTCTCCATATTCCAAAATATATGACATCTCGATGACAGGACCTGGTAAATTGCCTTTTTTACTAACAGGTATGCATGGTACATTGAGTTCTAAAGCAAGTATTGGAGCAAAAATAAAACCACGAGTCTCCAACATCGCTATACAGTCAACTTTACCACGTAGTTGATCAGAAATTTGTTTCAATATTTTCTCCAACAATTTTATTCCATCACTGTGGTTTAACAATGATAATATATCCCTGCAAAATAAAAATATATTCTCTGTAAATTGTAATATTTAAATTCTAAAGTGTGATAATGGTCATAAAGAGTTACTGTGGACTGTGGTTAGTGTTTTTGAATTTAGTCATAATACCTATTAAAAAATAATAATTCTATGTAAATCTCTGGTTACCCAATAATGGTCTATATTTTATTTATAATGATGGATGCAATGATAAACAAATTATACAATACCTACTCGCTTAATGTTAAAATAGTTAATAGGTACATTTCTTTACTGCGGTTTTTGTTTTTACAATTTGATGTATAAAAAAATAGCTCTTTATAGAAAAATTTATTTACTGTTTCTACTTTTAAATAAAAAATAAAACATCTTTAATATTTTTTATTATCTTAAAATTATAGTAAGATTATAAGAACAAAAAAAATCATGCAAGAAAGAATAAGTTATTCTGTAAGTTGTTCTTTTCACTCACAATCATATAGTAAATGTTATATTATGAGACTACTATAGAATACTATATTGGTTTTAACGTTGATAAATATGAAGTTCTTGTAAGTTACATTTTAAATAAATAATAAAATATGCAACTCCTTCAAATATAAAGTATAGCGAGGAAACATTATAAGATTTACAAAAACTTATAATATTTTTTTGAGAAAAAAAAACTTCAAAATTATACATTTAAATTTTTAAAATTGGAAATAATTTAACAAATTCATTATTATGTCTGATTTATATTAATAAGCTCATATAATTACACAAATTTTAAATAGATTCTTAAAGAAATTAATTTGTAAGTAAAAAATGTATTTACTTATATAAGATTCCTGGTTTAGGGAAGTCTGGAAAATATTCAACATATTGTTGTAACATATTAATGTTTTCCTCCAATGTATTTGTTGATGTCATGATAAATGTATTTGTAGATTTGAATCTTGTAACAAAATTATTTTATCTTAAAAATGTGTAACTGAAATTGAAAGGAAATTTAATTTTAGGTATGTATTAAAATTGATTAAACATTGCTGCACCAAAGTACCTATTTTTTTTTTTTTATAGAACACCGAACACGATTCACGAGCACTATCTGAGTAGTATTTAATATTTATTGATATCTGAATTTGATAGAAATTGATGACATTTTAATGTGGATCACAGTAATACAAAAACAAATCAAACTCAATAATTATGTGGTATTGTACTACTGTAGTCAACGATCACAAATTACGATAAAACACTCTAAGAAAATAACTACGCAATTATTAACGGTATACGTGGTTTGATATTTGGAATTTTATCTCTAAATTGAATTGAGTTGTAATTCGTAGCATTCAAAAGTCAAAACAATCATAATTTTATCTTATAATATAATAGACCGACGTAATTCTCCGACTTATGTATATTATTTTAAGGTATGTATCAGCAAAACGTAATAGTAGTCAAATTGACCAAGTCAATAGACAATAAATGATTCAAGTATATCCAGACACCGATCACTTATTTAGGACTAATGAATTACTGATTGGAGTTTGGAAACAAAAGTACAAAACCGTTAATAATAACTTTGTTTTGATTCGTTAACCACACGACTATAGATACTAGAACTAGATATAAGTACTTAATCTACAGGATAAAAAAATGCCGCCCGCCGTTTAAAATGTTTAAATGAAAACGCACGACTGCACCGGCATACGTGATACGTATGATACGCGTTCATGTTATGTGACAGAAGCCCCTCTATATTTTCATTATTTTTCACACCGGTTCAGTCTAGCAAATTTCTTTATAAACCTTGAAACGGCCCGAGGTAGTGAACCGGAAATCCTTATCACACCCTTATCACATCCTAATCAGTTCAATTGTATCACTTGTGGAATAAAAAAATCACTGTATACTGTAATCACAGATTATATTAAATAGTAAATACTAAGATCATATACCTATTATGATCTAAAATTAAATATTATAACATATATAAATTATATTCTGTTTAATACAGGATGTTGCACGATGAATGTGTCAAACTTCTAGAGGTGTTTCTACGCCTCAAATGGAACAAAAAAGTCCTTGTTACCATAATCAAATTATTAATAATAAGGGTAATAATTTCCATGTTTGTGTTTTTTTGTTAAACGCAAGTTTGATTCATAATAATGTTCATATCTGCTAAACCATAGGGGATTAGGAAAACATATCTTACAAGTTTCCCCCTTTGATTTTTTGGGTAAAAAGAATAACACACATTTTTTATAACTTAAAAATTTCAGTTTTATCCTACAACAATTTTTTTTTAAAGCAGGTGGGTGTAAATTTCGAAAAAACTTCAAAATGTTATAAGCTTTTCAACAGTGTACCTACTCGATTTTTTCGTTAAACCTTTTTGAAGGGCCGCTATTCCACCTAACGTGTGGAAAAACCGGGAAAAACGTAAACAAATTCTAAGCAATAAATACAAAACCTGGTAAACTGATTTTTTTAAAATTTCGACATTTTAAAGTTATAAAAAATGTGTGTTAATTTTTTTACCAAAAAATCAGGTGGGAACTTTGTAGATATGTTTTCCTAATCCCAATTTTATGAGCTTTTCATCAATGTATTCAATATAATAATTGTACTATTGTAGTACCTACGGTTTAGCAGATATGAACATTATTATGAATCAAACTTGCGTTTAACAAAAAAACCCACAAACAAGAAAATTATCACCCTTATTATTAATAGTTCGATTATGATCACAAGGACTTTTTTTATTCCATTTGAGGTGTAGAAACACCTCTAGAAGTTTGACACATTTATCGTGCAACACTCTGTATATTAATAATCTGCCCATCTATGCTGTAATGGATGTTTTAAATTGGAATTAAAAAACGATTCAGAGGCGAGACTGTATGTTAGCCTATAATCATTTAAATATATTGCTAATTGCCATTAATTGTTATAGTAATTTATTTTATACTATTAGACATTAGTAATACGGAATTAACAGCTATAAATAGATAAAAGCATAAAATGTATTAATCTTAATGTTTTAAAATGTCATGTTGTAACTATAAATATAAAATTTAATATTTTAAGTAAAAGTTTTAACAACCCCCCAACTAAAATCGTTATTCTTTGTTTAAATATCAAATTTTATTAAAATTTGAGCTCCAAATACTTATTCAAAATATTTATGGAATTTCGTCCAACCTTTTTGTTATATCGAGTTAAAACAACTTATGAGGAACCTTGTATTAAACTTTCAATTCTTAAGTATGAATATTAAAAAATATTTCCATATATTCATGGTTTTGATAAATATCCTCAATACTTGAATTTAGTGAAATTTATTAAAAAATGTTGTTACTGTATTTTCGTTTTTTTTAAATGGTATATGTGAACAACTTAGGATAAAACTTCAACCTTGTATTCAATTTTTAAACTTTTTGATGAGCAACAAATATTTTATCGACATTTAAATAAAACTAAAAATTGAAAATGTCAAATGTCTATAAATAACTAAAAACATTATTTTGAAAGTTTTATCATCTGCGGAAAATTCTAATTTCTAATAATAACATTTTATAAAAATTGCAAGTATCTACGTTTATTTGTTTTCGAGTTACACTTTAAAAACAATATCAATTTTGGCAAAAACTGGTTTTGCGAAAAAATTCGTGTTTTCTTAATTTGTTTTTGTAGGTACATGCAATTTTCACTGAATGTTTATATTAGCATTTTCTATACACAATAAAATTTTCAAAATATTTTTTTTCAATGAATGTCGATAAAATTTTATTTTTTGAGTAAAAAAACTTGAAAATTAATACAAGGCTTATAATATAATGACAATTGAAAAATATTAAAAATACATAGGCAACATTTTTTTTATAAGCATTTTAAGTTCAATTTTCGACAAAATTTAATAATTATTTTGTAGTTAAAATTTATAAAGTGTTTAACTTTTATAACTAAGGATTGAACATTTAAAACAAGGTTCCACGTAAATAGGTTATATAAAAAATTATAAATTACTTTATTCGCAATAATATCATCAAGTATCGTTTTTTCTTATATATCATTGAATTCAAATTTAACACCATCTATTACAGTGATCCACTTGTAACCAACTGTACAGCGGAGCGACACTCATTTGCCCACCTTTTAGATTCTGAGCGGAGCGATGAATGTATTGGTTTTACAATGATGTATGTTTTTATATTTTAGATTCTGAGTGAAACGATGAATGTATTGATTTTACAATGATGATGTGTGTGAAGTTGGCCCCCCAACTTTGTCGGATCGATTCGTGAAATATGTCAATATTTTGCAAATTAATTGCAAATAATTGCAAATTGGTTTTCAGAATTTGCAAATAACTCGTTAACATGTAATAAGCGAAAACCCGTTACGGGGGGCCAACTTCACGCAGCCCCCCGACTTTGTCCGATCGCTTCGGGAAATATGTCAATATTTTGCAAATTAATTGCAAATAATTGCAAATTGATTTTTAGAATTTGCAAATCAATATTTTTTTTTTGGCGAATTTTACAAGTTTTTTCGTCAGCCCCCCGACTTCGTCCGATCGCTTCGGGAAATATGTCAATATTTTGCAAATTAATTGCAAATAATTGCAAATTGATTTTTAGAATTTGCAAATCAATATTTTTTTTTTGGCGAATTTTACAAGTTTTTTCGTCAGCCCCCCGACTTCGTCCGATCGCTTCGAGAAATATGTCAATATTTTGCAAATTAATTGCAAATAATTGCAAATTGATTTTTAGAATTTGCAAATCAATATTTTTTTTTTGGCGAATTTTACAAGTTTTTTTGTCAGCCCCCCGACTTCGTCCGATCGCTTCGGGAAATATGTCAATATTTTGCAAATTAATTGCAAATAATTGCAAATTGATTTTTAGAATTTGCAAATCAATATTTTTTTTTTGGCGAATTTTACAAGTTTTTTTGTCAGCCCCCCGACTTCGTCTGATCGCTTCGGGAAATATGTCAATATTTTGCAAATTAATTTCACTGGTTGTTTATATTATTAAATATATTTAATAATTAATTTAAAATATTTTGATTTGGTTTTGAACTGTTAGGTAATTTACATTTTCAGTTTCCAATTTTTAGATTCTGAGTGAAACGATGAATGTATTGATTTTACAATGATGTGTGTTTTTTAATTTTTTTTTAATTTTTTTTTTTTATTTTTTGTTATTTTTTTTTGTGTCTGTCATCACGTTTTAGGACAGTAAAAGTGCTTGGATTTTCTTCATCAGTAGCTTTTCTGATAGGAAAGTGAATCTAGTTGGTACTTTGGGGGGTCAAAAGTATAAATTTCCCAGTAGTTTTCAAGAGCGCCGGGAAAAACAAAAGAAAAATTAAGGAAAAACGGGAATTTTTACGCAAAATCGATTTTTCAGAAAATTGAATTTGGTTTTTGGTGTAACTTTAAAACAAATGACCGTAGGTACATGCAATTTTCACTGGTTGTTTATATTTGCATCTTCTATACACGATAACATTTTCAAAATATTTTGATTTATTTTGAACAGTTTAGGGACATTTTCATTTTTAGTTTTTTTTTAGTTTTTTTTCTAGAAATATCAATAAAATTTTATTTGTTGGTTGCGAAAGCTTGAAAATTTAATAGAAGGCTCCTAATATATTGGTTCAAGGGCAGATGAAAAATATTAAAAATCCTTTGTCACAATTTTTTTTTATAAGCATTTAAAGTTCAAAAATTGACAAAATATGGAAAAATCACGAAAATTAGCAAATTATTTTGAGTTAAGAATTCGTAAAAATTTTTCTTTTTAAATCTAAGATTTGAAAATCTAATACAAGATTACTCATAAGATTGTCTACCTTTATCAATAAAAAAATCTCTACCGGAAAGTCAAATTAAATTTTTATGAGCGTTTGAAATTCAAATTTTTACAACATTGGATATTCACTCGATTTCTCATGTGGCAATTTCCTTTTTTTGTTGTAATTAAAAAACGAATTACTGTAGATACATGAAAATTTCACTGAATGTTTATATTAGCATTTCCTATACACCATACAATTTTGAAAATATTTTGACTCTTTTTGAGCTGTTTATGGACATTTACAGCTTTCAACTTTTTTTAGTTTTTTTTTCTTTGAATATCAATAAAGTTTTATCTGTTTTGCCAAAAAGTGTAAAAATTTAATACAAGGCTCCTGATATATTGTTACAATATCAGTTGAAAAATATTAAAAATACATAGGCACAATTTTTTTTTATAAGCATTTAAACATCGAATTTTGACAGAATTTTTCAAAATCTCGAAATTTATTAATCGTCATAATTAATAAGTTATAAAATGTTCAGTTTTTATAGCTAAGGATTGAAAATTTAAAACAATTTCCACGTAAGTAGTTAATTATCTTACCGAAAAATCTAAAAAATATACAATCACAGTTTATTTTTATAGTCATTTTAAATTCAAATTTGGACGAAATTACATATTAAAAAACCTAGAATAACTATTTTAGTTATTTTGTTGTGATTGAATAATATTATTCGTGGGTACTTGAAACTTCTAAAGTGTACTATTATATATCTATGATAGTATCACGGTTTTGTTGATGTATAACGCGTTATAAGTACCTAATGGACATTGTGATATGATTAATTTGGAATTTATTATAGGTACCTATTATAGGTCAATTTTTTGTTTAATACCATAGATATGTATATAATATGTCTTAAACATAGACTGACATACCGTCTCCGCTCAGAATCGTTTTTCTTATACAATGATATTATATCGTTGAATTCAAATTTAATATCATCCATTATACAGTGACCCACTTGTAACCTACTGTACAGCAGAGCGACACCCACTTGCCCACCTTTTTAACTTTTTAATGACAACATGCATTTTTAATTCTTTGTTCCAAAGCAGAATATTATTTTAAATACTTCGATACATTAAAATTGGGTTTTGGACTAGTATAGTCTATTGTAGGATTGTATGAATAATTGATAAATATTATGGTTCAATAAATTAAATAATGATTAATGGACCACTAAATCATATTTAAGTAACTGTTAGCTCACCGTTAATTTGTTAAATGTTAAGAATACATTAAAAATAAGTTCATGCAACCTGTAGTGGCGTAACCAGGGGGTCTAAGGGGGCTATAGCCCCCCCCCCCCATTGACTGTGTTGACCTTAGAATTTTATTAAGATTAATAAAAAAATAAAAAATTTAAATAAAAAACATAATATTGTAATTGGCATTACAATGGTGTTTATTTTTTTTTATTTTGTGTACACAATTTCTACCAGGAGTGCTTCGATTTCAACATATAGTATCTTATTTTTAAGAAAATTGGATCAAAATGGTTCTTAAAAAAGGTTATTTTTCGATTTCCTCAATAGTTATTTAATGCTACTGGAAAAACCACAAAAAAAAGCTAAAAATGGGATTTTGATTTCTAACGCTTTGTTCATCACCAGGGTTCGGGACTTATAGCACTAAAAAGCACTAAAATATGCGCTTATATATGACCCAATTAACTTAAAAATATGCACTAAAAATGAAAATAATATGCACTAAAAAATTTAAAAAAAAATTTAAAATCATTAACAAAAAAGATTTATTTGATATAATATGTATTAATAAATAGGTATATATAATATATTAATTTTTTTATATTTAAAAAAATTAAAAAATTAAAAAATAAAAAAATTTGTAATTTAAATCTTAGTGCCTTTGTGATTGCATGAACTATTAGATGTTTTCGAACATTTTCGAACTGGAAGGCTCTTCTATTATCGGCTAGAATACACTTATATGCCGAAAATGAACGTTCCAAGTAGACCGGAAGTAATGGGAGCATACTTGAAAAATAACAGATCATTACATGTTAGATCTTCTGCTATTGAACGAAGATCCATAGACTCTCCTCCGGTGATAATATTACATATATTTGTTTGTTAAACCATAACTCAGATAACTACATGGTTTTCGATTTGTTGAGTAGGTATTTATAAATCAAGTGCACGTACTACATTTTTGTGACAGATATAGCTACACAAATAATATTACTACAAAACAAGTTTTCGCAATTAATCGTTCAACATTTTAATTAATACATTTTGAACAATTATATTAACCATCAATCATTAAAAATCGTCGAATAAGCAAAAAATATGCAAAAACCTTTAAAATATGCAAAAACCCCCAAAATATGCAAAAATATGCAAAATAAAATTTCATATTTTAATTCTCTGTACTACAAAACGTATTTGTAGATCACTCTGCTATGTTTTACATCACCTATGATGGATATGCAAATGCTATAAGTCCCGAACCCTGTTCATCACCATAAAAACAAATTAAATAACGATTTTATTTATTTTGTTGTAATGTATAATATTAATTCAACATACAGGCCTATAATAAAATATAATAACAATATAAAATATCCAAACTGACAAACCGTCTCCGCTCAGAATCGTTTTTCGTATTCAATGATAATATGATATCATTGAATTCAAATTTAATACAATCCATTATAATATTATACAGTCAGTGACCCACTTGTAACCTACTGTACAGCAGAGCGACATCCACTTACCTGTTTTTTTGTACTTTCTTGTGATATTTAGCCTTCCCCATACAAAATTCCTAGCACGCAACCCCTGCGTTATATGAGTTATAACTCTTATAAGTACCTACCGAAAGTTTAGACGAAATACTTATAAGTCATATACTTATAAATAATAATCAAACTACCTATTGTTCTATATTTGATTTTTAAGGATCAAAATACTCCCAAAAATATTCTGCTTCGGAATATGAAATTTAAATTATATGCTGTCATTCGAATCAAACTGATCACTCCGTGTAATATAATGTTAATATTCAAAATTGAACAAAACTAGGTTCTCTTTTAAATTAATAATACAGTTTATCTTGTTAGGTACTAACGTCTCCCATAATACCTTATCACAAATTAATTACTATTGTTGTATAAAAAAAAACCAAATCATAATTGCTGGTCACATAAATGCTTAATCTATTTTTTATGTACAAATATTACACACATTATAAATATGGGCCATTATGAAACAAACACATCAATCTCTACAATCTGTAGAGAATTGATATATGCGGCGTAGCATATCATATTCTTTGGCAGTTGTAATTTTTCTATTAGACCAAGTGCGTGTTTAATAAATTTACGATAATTCAATAAGTGTTTAATTAAAACATCATACAAATCTACGTGCCCACCTATGGTCTTATTTTCCTGTACTCGGCCTACTTCTCAAATACTGTAATCTGGAGCTGGGATATAAGATTCCAAAAACTACTTTGAATGAGGACAAAACCAAGCATTTCAAAATCTTTTTTAATTTTGTAATCAACTTGATCACATGATACAATACCATGCAGATATCTGTATATCACTCAAGTTTCAGTTCAATACCTACAGTCTATAAAATGCAACAAATCAAGGCAAGCTCATAATTATTGACATTTTGATATTTGATATTTAAATTGTATGTATTTCATTGTAATTCTGTATAATTTTTGTTAATTTTTAACTGTGTAGATATTAACTAGAATACATTTAAGATTAAAAAATTACTAACATAAAAGTATATTAAAAATAACAAGTGAAAATAAATTTAAAATTATTATTTAAATTCCAAACTAGGTAAATAGCATCAATATTACTTAAAGCAATTACAATTGGATAACTTCCCGACAATTTTTTTGGATTGTTGTATTGTAAAATAATTTAGGCTTTAGCTGTTATAATCTATAGTAGGTAGTGAATAAGTTACCTATATACCTAGACATGTTTCAGTTTAAAATTATTCTATTAATTACTTGTTTGGAAGTATATTGTGGTTTGGCTTATCAATGTCCAAAATCTGTTCCATATTCAACAATACCAAGATTATCAAGAGTCAGTTTACCTATATCAAATGCGCTCGTCCATTTTAAAATTGAGAACGAATTTCTAATAGATTCTAATGGTAGGACAAGATATGTTTGTGTAGAAATTACGCCAGAAATACACGCATTACAGAATGAGACAATAAATAACGATAACGATATACATGTTCAAACCGTAGGAGATTATAAAGAACACATAATAGCGCATTCCCTAGGGGGATCAAATGATTCTCTGAATATATTTTCGCTTAACCATGATTGCAAGTCGAAGCTACTTAACAGTAGTGTCGAGCAACAACTTGCTGAATTACTTGCTGAACACTCGCGCATAACATATGTAGCTGAACTTGAATACACATTATATAATGTGACTGATGTGCGACCAACAAGCATAAACGCAATGTATATGGACGAAAATGAAAATATCCTAGGATCTGTGAAGATAGTAAATTCACCACCAAACACACCCTGTGAAACAATAGATCTGAAAATTCACACAAAAAGTAAAAGGTCTTTGACCGAAAGTTCTACACATCCTGAGAATTCGACACATCCTGCAGAGAATTCGACACATCCAGAAAGTTCTACAAAACCTAGAAATTGCATGGATGGATGTAGGAGGACCGAGTGTTGGGCAAAAGTTGAAGATCGTGATAGGAGATGCAGGTGTCATTTTCATACAGTGCATGCTAATACACTTTGTATTGGTGAGTGGTGTTATTGCTGCTCTTACTATTAAAAAAAAAAAAAAATTGTATGATTCATATAGTGGATATTTTTTTTGTGAGAGGTTTAATGACCTTTATAATAAAGATAACCACACATTATATATTATTATTAAGTAGGTAGTTAAATAAATAATAAGGTACTCAGTAACTTATACCAATTATTATAATCTATAATATACAATTATCTGAATACAAAATGTTATCATATTGTAATTTTCATTGTAAATGCAAATATTGAAATATGATATATATTTTTACATTTGTATGTTATAACTAAATGTATTAGTAGGAATGTTATATTATTTATGTAATTTGTGAATCTTTTTTTACCATGGTAAAACAATGTACATTATCGTCTATTCAAATATTATCTTCATATAATCCTATTGTATTTTATTTAAATGCCTACAGTCTACACAGCATATTAATACTGTGTTTCGATTAAATAAATGTATGATAATTTTGTCATTTTTAACTCTTCGAAATTGTTTTCCCATAATTTAATATTCCAATAATATAAAATACAGAATGATGTCTGTTAACGTTATTGGTGACTGGTGAGAACAACAATTATAAAGCAAACTAAACCTATTCCAATATAGGTACAGTGGCGTAATTACGGGGGGGGGGGTCGTATCCCCCCATGATCGTTATATTTTTTTTTTAATCGTCAAACACATTTATGTACTAATTTTATATTTTATAGACACTACAAAAATCACCCGAATCTCAAAATTTAAATATATTCAATATTTTTCATAATATACTTTCTGTGGTAGAGATTTAATTAAATTATAATGCTTTACTTTTTTGCTCCACAGAATCGATTAAATGGTCTTGCTATGTTCATAAATCTGAATCTAAATCGACCCTGAAGAAGTGCTTAATGAATTAGCATTAAGACCACGTAGAGTGGATCTTCTATTGTGATTTGTGATGTACCTAACTGCATCTAGTATCTAGGACCTAGGGATCAATAAAGTTAATGGACCTAAATGTGAATACCTAAATATTATGTTATTATTTATTTTAATGTACAGTGTATACAATATTACATACAGATCATAATGGTTGTATACTTGTATTGAGAGATGCTTATTGCTTAAATGATTTTAAAAAAAATGTTGAGGGGGGGGGGGGGGTAATTGGTGAAATGTACATACATTTCACCCCCCCCCCCCAACCATGACCAAATTACGCCACTGTATAGGTACCTACTTGGTTATTGTATTTTATTGCAATTTAAAATTTAAAGAATACTTAGAGGTACCTATATAGCAGTTGTCTGAAGTTATCATAGTTTCTAATGTCTTCATATAACAGTATAAACTGTGAATAAGGGTACATAGAGTACTTACATAAGTATGTATGTTATAAGTACTTACCTATAAAAATAAATGAAAAAAATTAATGTTGATAGATTAATAACAATTTATGGATGTTTCTAACTATTATAGAACATAACAGCCAGGTACCTAGGTACTTATATTCATAGGCGTGCGCAGACCTTGCTGGCAGGGGGGGCAGAATGTAATAATGTACCTATAGGTATATTATATAATATATAGGTAAGTAAATATTATTTTGGTTATTAGTTCAATTAATGTAAGTGATGGAAGTATTTTCATTTTATGTATCATTAAAACTACAAATAACTACAAATTTAATATAGTAATTGAAACTCCAAAGTTTTTTTATATTATATTAATATACATGAACAAAGAAAATTATTACATTCATACAGTGGTGGATCCAGGGGGATGGAAAAGGGGGCATTTGCCCCCCCCCCAATAACCGTAGTTTTCCTTTGTTTTACACTGTGTTTAGCCAATTTTGGAACTTTCATATACTTTTGAGCCCCCCATGCCCCTCCCAAAATTAAGCCCTGGATCCGCCACTGCATTCATATATATTTTTATGCCCGATGTGTTGGTGAAATCTGAATTTACTAATTCTACTTACTATTTTTTTACAATTACAAAAAAAGTAAGTAAGATAGGTAAATTATTATTTGCACCAACACGTTGAACATATAAATATCAACATTTAAAAAAAAATGTAAATCCTTAGTATTGCATTTACATGATTTTTTCAAAAATAGTACCACTATTATATCATGCATTAATGTATCAATAATATTCTATTCTTTGATAATATTGAAATTTATACATTATTGTAGGCATGTAACCTATTATTTAAACTGTTTTATAAATTATACTTTATAGGTATTTAATAGTATTAGGTATATAATAAACAATTTGATTTGTAGGTTACAGTATAAATAGAAAATTAATTTCAATATAAAACACCACATTAAAAAAAAAAGATAGGTATATTCTGATTTAATCAACACGTTGAGCATAAAACTACTAAAATACTAAAAATTCCGAAAATTGCTTCGGAAGTAAAGAGCTATAATATTTGTTCGTATACTGCATACTAATTATTATAATTATTAATTACTAATTATTTAAAGAACCGACCTTCTTAGCGCTTCCGGTGAACGTTTTTCGCATTAAATGCCGTCAAATTACTACTCACTTTCATGTCTCATCACATCTCAATCTACATCATGCTATAATAAGATTATAAGCACTCGTTATCACCGCGGTATCGCTTGTGGTTCGCTTAAAGTTGGACAACATAAAATCATCGTGCACTGTACATCGAGCACTCAATGTTTACATAATATTCATTATATAAAACTGTATTATAATATTTTTTTAAAAACTTTGTTATTTTGTAAGAAAACTTGAGCCCGCAGGAGGGGCAGATGCCCACCCTGCCCCTCCCGTGCGCACGCCTATGCTTATATTAAATACCAACCCATCAACAATTTTATGACCAAGACACGTGTGAAAAAATTATAAAAACTATCATAGAAAATTGGACTATTGTAGTCATGCTTATTATCTATAATTTTTATTGAACGATTATTAGCCATTACTTTTTATTGTTTCAATTTGTTACTAACATATTAATTATTAAATGCTAATTACCTACTAAACATGTTTCTTTCTAATTTATAGTTGGTATATGTAATTACTAATTAATCATCTATATGAATATGATATATTCATAATATATATAGTTGGGAACTGGGAACACATCTAGAGTTCATAGTTACTGATTGTCCGACTAACATACATTAATATTATAGAACTATATATGACAAAACATATTAATATTATACGGACTGCACACAATATAATATATATTGTATTATATTTATATATATCATAATATCCTACTATAACAGGCCATACCATATTACAAGTAGTATATTATGTCATATAATCTAAGCATATTACCGTGATATAACAGACAGTTAAATTATATAGTTTATTTGTTTAATAGTTATATAGTTAAATCCACGATTTATACCATAATATATTAATATCTTTAATCGTAGATCACTATACTCCACGAGAGTCCATATACGTACACCGCGCATCGATTTAGTAATATCATGCACCATAGTACGTGATCATACATTAATTTTGATGGGATTTTAGGGTTTCAATGTTGGTGCAACTGATCTCACGAAAATCGAATAATTGCTGTTATCACGTTTCGGGACTTCGAGAGATCTGAAAGAGGACTGATGAGTGATTAGAGAAAGGGGGCTAAATTTAGACAAATTAGTAATTAGTTTAACAGAAAGTGAATGAGTAACGAGGGGTGAGTGTTATGGGCGTTCTAGACTTCTAGGTATATTTTTAACTTGCGCCATCTGCACTGATTGTTTCCCGTCAGCAGGACTCTACTCTCCAATAATGTTGTTAAAAGTGCTTTTTTAATGATTCCATTAAAATGTGTTCGATAAAATGCATCAGTTTATTGATTGGCCTCTGTGTCGTACAGTTTTGTTCATCGGAGATAGGTAAATGATTGTCAATAATGTGTTCAACGGTGGCCAATATATGTGAGGTAACGGTTTGTATTTGTTTGCAGCATCGTTTTATGGATCTAGTTATGTCAACGTACCTTACCAAGATGCCAAAAGCACGACAGAAATCAGTTTTGCTTTCCGTACGAAACATTTGGATGCTTTCCTGTTTTTGGCTGCTGGCAAAACCGATTACTGTTTTGTCCTGCTGGAAGCGGGTAAGCTAAAGGTAAAGATTAATCTCGGAGCTGGTGAATCAGAGATATCATCACCGAGAGGACTTCGACTCGATGATCTAAACTGGCATTTGGTGAACATATCACGAAAGGAAGGAGATTTGAATTTGGCAGTTGATAAAATACACATTGTCAGGTAAATAGTCATCCAGATTTCATTGTTTATCGTACAATCAGGTTGTTTAATGTTTATATTGTTTATAGAGAAAAATTGCCTATTGGGTTCTATGAACTGAACATGTACGGTGGTTTGTACGTTGGCGGTCAAGGAGACTTTTCCGAATTATTCTTAGGCCACACAAATGGCTTACGTGGTTGTCTACGAGATGTTCGCTATAATGCAGTACTAGATGTTTTGAGTAGAGCACGATGGCGAACTGGTAGAGCCGATGCTCATTCAATATCTTGGGGTTGTGTAAATGAATTTGATGCTCCAAGAGAATCAAGTATATCATTCCTAGAAGATGGTGCTTATATGGCTATACCCAGTATGTTAACATCCAGAACTAATGTTAAGTAAGTATATATGAGTACTATAGTAGATATTATAGGTACTTATGAAAAGTGTTTATGTTTATAAGGTGGCAGTTTTCCATAAAAACAATATCTGAAATTGGATTAATACTTTATAATTCTAAAAAAAGCTCAACATTAAGTAGACATAGTGGGAATGTGGATTTTGTGGGTGTAGAACTTGTTGGTGGTAAAATACGTGTTGCTCAAAACTGGGGTTCTGGTGTCACTGAACTATATTCCGATGTTACTATCAACGATGGAGTCTGGCATTCTATAAATGTAGCTATGGAAGCTGGTGGACTCGATGTTACTATTGATGCACCCAAACATAGGTATCGTTTGGCATTAAATAACTCAGCTCTACCTTCAA